AAGCGCGGACGAGAAGCACATGGCGGAACATGTGAGAGACGCTCTGGATGAAAGCGCACTTTCACTCTCTGACAACAGATGGCGCTAAACTGCAGAAATAATAATACTAATAATTAATTTTAATGCAGCCGTTACCCCGGAAACCCTGTAAACAAAGCAGCTGCACTACTTTCTGTTTCTGAATCGTGTTTAAATTGTTTAAATTACACAAATTATTTAGATATGTTCATCACAGCACCAAATACTTAAATATTTAGACTTAATAGGCTATTTATTTTCAATCTTTTTTTTACATTTTAATCTGGACTACAACATGGTTATACTGTATTATGACAGCACTTTTTTTTTAAAACAAAATTTCAATTTCGTGATAATACCGTATACCATAATAAACGCATTAGCAATTAATTGCAACATGAAAATTTGATACCGGCATATCCCTAGTCTGATGATTATTAGCTGATACATTGTGGACTAATGAGGTCAAATGTCGGAAAATGTATTCTATCTGTGAAGAAGTTGGTAATCACATATGTATGGCACATTTATTAAGGACCAATATTTAGCTCCAGAAACATTTTTATCCTATGAGGGCCTTTGTTTTTAACTATAAAAAACAAAGCATGCCATCCATTAATGTTAAAACATACATTTAATCAATTAATTTAAAGGAAATAAAGTTTAATAAAGATTTAATATTTTTATAAATAGATTTTACTTGCAGTTTTGTGATATTCAGTATAGCAGCAAGATAGCGATATATTGCTTTTGAACAATTTTTTAATACAATTTCTCAATTAATGTAGAGTAAATTGCAGTTTTAACACAATATGACCAGCTATCTTATTTATAAGAAATAATATTGTTATAAGAAATATCAGCACTGTTAGAAAACTGCTTGTCCAATCAAATTAAAGGACTGCAATATAATTAATATTCAACAGATAAAATAAATTCAATTTTTGTTTTGCCAATTATCAAATTTGGCAGTTTTGTCCGTTTTTAGAGCATTTTAATTCTAAGCTAAAGGAAACTCAACAGAGTGAAAAGATTCAACTGATGCTTTTCGAGATGCTATTAGACTAAAGATAACTTTAAGATAACACATGTGCAGGCATAAAGTGAGCATTTACATACTATTTGTTCTATATAATGTACAATATAATGTAAATTTGCCATTATAAAATCTCTTACAGACTTCATATGAGTGTGTTTGTATATGTTTGACCCTGACACAAGATGCATGTGTGATGCAAAGCGGCCCTTTGACGTCAGAGGCAGGTGTTTGAACAAAGGCAGTGTGGAGGCCATAGCCTCACTGTTATTTTCTTAATGAAGGCTTAACTAAGGCTTTGAGTGACAGGCGCAGGGCAGGGGGAAGGGGAAGCTATTCACACCACCAGCACGTGGAGGAAAGGCAACGTCACATGCTCTCAAAAACAAATGTTGAATGCTCACTCATATGGGATGATATTAGACTCAAAATGATTAATAGATGCACGCACAATTATCCATGTACTGCATAAATTTTATACATGTATCTTACTAACCACAAATAAATGTCTTTCAATTTGAGTCTGTGGAATTCAGGATTAAATGATTGTGCAGCGATTTGTACAAATACAGATATGTTTGAGAATAAAAATGTTCTGTTCTGCATTAATATATCATAAATTACTCATGCAAAAAGGAATCCATGCATATGTGGATCAGGTGACACGCGTGCATTAATTGATGTCTAGTTCGAGTCGATCTTGTTCGGTTCATTTGGATTTTGAGACTTCATTTTCGCAGTTTACAGCATTTCACGTCCCCCACACACACAACTACCAACGAACAAGGCCCAGTGCAATTCATTAACGTGTACACGATTTGAAAAATTTGCAAATGTGCGTCACTACACTGAAACATGCTTTTATATTTAAAAGTTTATATTTAATTAAACTATTAAATTAACTTATACTAAACGAGCGTTTTATAGGCTATAGCCTATTCCTCGCTCAAGCGGATCGCATAAATAGCTAGAACATATTTTATTTAGCCTACTTATTACTAAACCATTTTCTGAGTCATTGTCTGCAAAGATGAAGTTGACGATGCTGATGAACGACTTTATTCTCGAATTATTTTTATTCTCAATATTTTATTTCTACATTTTTCTGGATATTTAATGAGTTTAATCTCGCATTATAGGCTAATGACTTTATTCTGGAGATGTTTTTTTTTTAATTGTTTGGCCCTATAATCCTCTTTCTTAGTCTCTCATTTGGCACAAATCCAAATGTTTTTATATTCACAATGTTGGCTATTTGAATTTGAATGCAACAGACTATTATTTATTAGGCCTATGTAAACCAGGCTTTGTACTTAACCCGCTTTCCAAAAAAAAAAAAAAAATCATGGTCGTCTTCACATGAAAAATCCTCTTCACATGAGCAAATATGTGCTTGGCCCGAGCTCAGGCTGAACGGCACGGATTGTACTAAAGGCTGTTTTAATTAACTAGTGTATCTAGATTCTATAGTGTATCTATATGTTTGGTTGACTATTTTATTCTGATAATGAACAGGCTGCAGCGTTTGCAATGCTGTAGGCCTATATGAAAGGTGCATTTCTCTCGTACTGTGGAGATGGCTAATCAGTATCGTCAACTTCATCTTTGCATAATAATAATAATAATAATAATAACCTAAATACAACCTATACAATATACAAATAAGGACATTGTTTAAAAAAAAAAAGATGCAGAATGCAGAGGGCTTTGCGGGTGAGACGGGTGTTGTAAATGTCCTGGAGGGAGGGGAGAGAGGCACCAACGATCTTCTCAGCTGCTCAGACTTGATGTGGTGCGTGACTAGCCTTCAAAGCACTTCATGAGGATAGGGGTGAGTGCAACTGGACGGTAGTCATTGAAGCAGGATGGAGATGACTTCTTTGGGACACGCTCGATAGCATGTTAGCTGATCGAGCTGAATACCGCAGTCCGGAACGCTGTTGCTGAGCCATGTTTCCGTGAACACAAAAACACAACAGACCCTTACAGTCCTCTGAGTTGAGCATAGTAGTCGGATGTAATCCAGTTTATTGTCCAAAGAGCGATAGACGCGACAAATACGTACAAAAACGCTGCGACTCACAAGATAAAAAACACGAAAACACCGTTCTGTCGGGAGAGAGAGAAGCCGCAGCGTGTGCACGCGCCGCCATCTTGGAAACGTATATCCACATTAACTGCGGATCGCAGATCGCGCACATTAACTGAGAGAAACGTTCATGGATCGAAGGAGAGTGTTTGTTTTTGCTTTGTAATAAGAGTTTGGCATAAACGCGATTCATTCACTTGGTGAGCATAACCGTTTTTACAGCTCTGTGACACAACCGGTCAAAAGGCTTATATAAACGCCGCAGAATAAGCCTAAAGTTGTCAGAGGTGCAACAGCACGTTCATATATATGTTTTCAATGCAGAGTGCAAATGGCAGTGCATTTATTTGTGTTTTTAACTCGATGGGAGCGAAAAACACTCTAAACACACTAAACACACTAAACACAAGAATAAAGATTCTTTTATCTTTATTCAGCGAAATGAAACTCTGAAACCGAAGCTGTGTGTGTTGTGTGTTGTCTGTCTCCCCTCTTCCCTCTCCACTCTGCTGCGCACCATGCCCACTTTTTTAGCCTTTTTTAAAACTGTGGTGAGAACCAGTGCTGAAACGGGGTTTCGTGACCCTTTAAATTCAGAAACGCTTCTGGAAAATAACATGACTTCATTTGTTTATAACACTATCAAAATACTAAATATCAAAAGACATTTAGTTTAGACAAAATTTCCCGTGAGCTGGCTAGATAATGTTTTTCGGTGACAAATCAGCAGATTTGACAACAACCACGTACTAGCCTACACATCACAGAGAACCAAATATTTAAGTTTGAAAGGCATAAATGATGCATAATCAACAGAGCATTAGGGTCTAAACAGGACAAGTGACAATTCAGCCAACTGAACGACAATTCCAAATGCGGGTCCATTTTGATTTCACATTTTTAATTTTCAAAAAACACAAAACAAGTTAACAAGCGCAGGTTAAAACTGTCATTCGCAAATAAAATCGCTGCACAATCATTTAATCCCGAATTCCATAGACTCAAATTGAAAGGTATTTGTTTGTGCTTAGTAAGATACATGTATAAAATGTATGCAGTACATGGATAATTGTGCGTGCATCTATTAATCATTTTGAGTCTAATATCATCCCATACACTCGTGCCTAGGTGGCTATAAATATAAAGGTTCTTGTACTACCTGGTCCATGGTCGTACACTCTTTTCGTTGATTAGTAACACGCATGCTGATTGGAATTTCTTGCTGGTTTATGTTATTGATAAAAAGGAAGGGAACACAGTTGGAATGTATGAGAGCAGTTGGAATTGATTGCATAATTCAAAACAATTTCTAAATCAACTTTATAGCTCTTTAGTGCTTGCATACGTATTTGATGAGTTCTGTTTTGCTCTCTTTTCTCATCTGGATCTCTTTGCAGTGCAAGTATGATTTCTGCTGGATTTGTCTTGAGGAATGGAAGAAACACAGCTCCTCTACCGGAGGATACTATCGCTGCACGCGCTACGAGGTCATCCAACAGGTGGAGGAGCAGTCCAAGGAGATGACTGTGGAGGTACTCACTCCTTAAATGAGTTTACACACATGGCAGCCATTCAAGAAGTGCATTTACTTGGATCTTTTGTGATTTGTTTGTGCACTACTGTGAATGGTGCTAGTGAAGAAAAGGCTCAGCACTTCACATTTACTTTCCAGGCTCATATTTCTCATGTGTAAAAAGCAACAAAACAGGTTCTGTGCTTCTATTCTGAGTTTACATGTTGTTATGAGCTTGAATGAATTTCCATCATGAAGTTACTCTTGCTTTTGTGATTGTGTCCTCGCAGGCAGAAAAACAGCACAAGAGTTTTCAGGAACTTGACTGTTTTATGCATTATTATACACGATACAAGAATCATGAACACAGTTACCAGGTAGGAATATTTATGTAATGAATGTCTTAAAAGCGTTCCAGTTGAGTGATTGCCTCACTATTTGCTGACAGTCATTCATCAAAGGTGCTTCTTTTAAATTAGTTAGAAGAACGACTCCTGAAAACAGCCAAAGAAAAGATGGAGCAACTAAGCAAAGCTTTCATTGGAAGTGAGTGGAACATAATTTACATTTACATGACTTTAGTTTTAAGTGTGATATAGTATGTTCTTATAAACTGGTGTATTTTAAATCATAAAAATATGTAAAAATGTCAATATTTCTGTTTCTTCAAGGGGAAGGAGCCCCACCTGACACCACTTTCATTGAGGATGGTGTGCATGAACTTCTCAAGACCCGACGCATCCTTAAGTGCTCTTATCCGTATAGTTTCTTCTTGGAGCCCAAAAGCACAAAGAAAGAAATATTTGAACTTATGCAGGTAGTGGGATCGAGATCTGTTCACCACTTAAGAGAAACAAGGCAGTGTGATTTGTTTCCATTTAACCTTTTCTTGCACAATATGCTGATGTGTTTAATCTTTCTCCAACATACACAGACTGATTTAGAGATGGTCACCGAAGACCTTGCTCAGAAGGTGAACAGGCCTTACCTCCGCACCCCTCGCCATAAGATCATCAGTGCCACATATCTGGTGCAGCAGAAGAGACGGGAGTTCTTGGCCTCTGTGGCTCGAGGTGTCGCCCCAAATGATTCTCCCGAGGCTCCCCGCCGCAGGTAAATTCTTGCGCTGCTATTTACACCACCATTTTTATCAGGTTATCAATTTTGCTAGTGTACTAGTACAGAGTAATAGTATACATTTTCAATATGCACCATATAAAAACAAAAACATGAATTTCAGTACCATGGCATATTTCAAAGTATCATAGTATTACCATCTAATACCATCACTGTGCCATGGTACTACTGTAGTACTTTTTGTACCATAACAACTTATTGTATGGTCATTAGGGCTGTGCAATATATCGAAATAATCGAAATATCGCAATATGCATATCGCTACGGCTTGCAATATTTGGGGCCATGAACAAAAGACAGAGAAAATCACTCACTGCTCTTACCTAAATAACTTTTGTAGCTTAAATAAGAATCAGTGCATATTGAATTCATAGAGTAAATACTAAGCAGTGTTGTATTTTTCCTTTTTATTATTCAGTTCCTAAACTCGTGTTAAAATTATTACACTAGCATTACATAAAAATGTCATTTTAACATTAGAGTAAAACACTACCGTTCACTTTCAGAAGTTGTTGTAGGGGTGCTTTCTTCTCACAAAAAGTGAAACATGTATGCTAGTTATATTAGAAAACAGAATCAGAATGAGCTTTATTCACGACTTAAGTGTGCGCAAACACAATGAATTTGTTGTGGTTTTACAGGAGCTCTTGATACATACATGCATACAAATAACCATATATACTGTATATGACACAAGATAGTTATAGAAGTTCACAGAACTGACTCAGCAACAGCTGAGTAAAACGGTTTCATCTGAGCATGTGGCACTTTAAGCATTATCGTATCGAATATCGCATTATTTTATGAGTTATCGCATATCGCATTTTTCTTCAATATCGCACAGCCCTAATGGTCATATTGCATCTCGTTGAAGAACACTATGATGGTATTATAATACTTTGATATTACTTTGGTACCATGTCCAAAATATATTATACTAACAGAAATAAAACCCTACAGCCCCAGTACTTTTTTCCTCTTTTGCAGTTTTGCTGGTGGGACGTGGGATTGGGAGTATCTGGGATTTGCCTCTCCTGAGGTATTACTGCATTACTGCTCCTGTGTTTACATTTTTTTTTTTTTTAACTAACCTCTGCTATTGCAAAGCTCAGCCAGCCAGAGTTGTAGTTCACTAGTCTGTTAATGCCCTCTGACTCTCTGAGATGTCCTTGTAATAATGTAGGAGAGTTGTGTGTTGTTGTAAAGTACTAGCAGTCACTGAATCTCATTCTGTGTCCAAAGATGGTGAGGAATAACCCAGTACGGGGATCAAATGCACAGCGTGAGAGCAATTACAATGCAGGAGGCCAGCCGCAGGTACTGCTGAAGACAAAATAACAAAACATTCTTTAGTTAACAATTCTTAGTTCACAAAATTTGGTGCAGCATCAATTTTATAGTCATTCATATGTCCAGTATGACGTAATATATGATGCTGTCAAAATAAATGTAATCTGATGTTTAGCTGTTAAGGCTGGTCATCTCCTGGAATATTCCAGATTAAGGACTATACCGTTACTCAGCCTAAATGCTTAAATAAACCAGAATTCCTGTCCTGTGGTCAACTTCACCGTTCTTGAAATGTGGACACTGTTGTAGGTTGCTTTGTCATGCATTCAGTCTTTCTAACAATTGCAAAATTATTATAATATTAGCTTTTTAATATTTTTTTTCTTAATTTTTTAATGCCTAAATACAGTGGCCTCAAAAAGGATTTGGACACTCAATCATTCTTAAAAAGTATGAATTCTATTGCAATGGATAATTACATATTAAACTAAGAGGCATCTGCAAAAAAATGGTGCTACACATATTTTCTCAAAACTAACATCAGCCTTCTAAAATTATTATTATTTTTTTTTCAATTACTTTTAAAAAATGAATCCGGTTGTCAGTCTTGAACCACCAGTGTAGTTCATTGTATTAACCATGAACATGTTCTACTACATTTTAACTAAAGCGTTACAACCAGAAAATATCCAAATACTTACAGTAGTTACGTTTTTTTTTTAAATTCTAAAACATAAAAAAAAAACGTAATTTTGTGGAGTGTTTTGCTTGAAAAGTGTTTTTAAAACTGTGGTTAGACATTTTGTTATATAATTACAAGAAATACATTTTTAAGTGTGACTTGAGTGTCCAAATATGTTGTAGGGTCACTTTATTTTATTTTAATCCATATTAGTAGTAAGGATTAGAGACGCAGGATACGGTTTTATTCACTGCTTGTAATATTGAAGTCAGTCAGTATTCTTGTGAGAGTCTGTCCATTTTTTAAGGATCTATCTTTTACTTAAAGCAGGACTGCCCAATCTCGGTCCTGGAGGGCCGGTGTCCTGCAGAGTTTAGCTCCAGCTTGCCTCAACTAATCTTCTAGTATGCCTAGTAAGAGCTTGATTAGCTGGTTCAGGTGTGTTTGATTAGGGTTGGAGCTAAACTCTGCAGGACACCGGCCCTCCAGGACCGAGTTTGGGCACCCCTGACTTAAAGGGTTAGTTCACCCAAAAATGGAAATTAGACTATGTTTTGCTCACCCTCGAGGCATCCTAGGTGTATATGACTTTCTGCTTTCAGATGAATCCAGTTGGAGTTATATTAAAAATTGTCCTTGCTATTCCAAGTGTTATCATTGCAGTCAGCGGGTGTTGCAGTTGAACAGTCCACAAGTCGTCAAATAAAGCGCGCGCATCTAT